TCGCAACCCTCGGTGTTGTGCCTGCACCGCACTCAGCCAGTGAGCGGACTGGTCTCCACATGGGATCCGAACCCTCAGTGGGAGCACCGCCGTGCTCCCAAGCGGCGCACTCTCCAGTGTGCCACCGGGCCGGCCCTACTCAAACTTTTTGAAGTGCCCTTATAGTTTCATATTAGGATCTTCTCTTCTTTGTTTTTTTTTTTTTGTTGTTGTTGTTGTTGTTATTGTGTTTTTGTTTTGTTTTTTGCCTCATAGCCTGATTCACCCAGTGCTCCTGACAGAGCCTGAGCCTAGACTGAGGCCACAGACACATTCTTGGGTCCAGATCTGAGAGTCAGCATCACTGTGCTACCATGCTGTGCTCTCTGCTCTGACTGACCACCAGCAGTAGTTTCAAATCTGGCTTGCTATTCCACTCATGGGACTTAGGATATAAACTGTCCAGGCTTGTGTGGCTTAGCCAGGGGATGCAGGACAGTAGGTACAGTTGGCATGGCTGCCTTGGGTGAGCTCTCAGTGAGGGTCCTCAGAGTGAAACAGACAGCGCTTTATGCCTATCATCTCAGCTTTTTAATAAACCAGACTAGCTGGATGTGTGTGAAACTTCCGTAGGCTAGGGAAGCCTGGTGCTCCAAAGGACTTGTGAAAGCCACTGAGCAAAACTTCCAGGGGCCTAAAAGAGACACATTTGCTTATATGTCACTCTCCCCTTGTGGAAAATGAGGTCTGTCCTTAGCAACTGAAATGTAAATTCTATGTACAGTCTCCCCAGTCAAAATGTGCTTTATATATCAGGCTATTTTTACTATTGGTAATGTGGACTAGCAAAACAGCTGATGTCCCAATTTATTGAAACCCAATAGGTTTTGCAGACAATAAAAAAAAAAAAATACTAGGAGAAAGTAAGCCAATACCAGCTTTGCAAAGAGGAAGATCTCAGGCCTGATGTTCACTCTGATCCCACATATTTTTTCTAATTCCCAAAACGTGTCCATTTTACCCCACTTAATCTCTCACTCTCATCTGCTCTCCATTTCTTTCTTCACCTTGTCCTGCAAGCTGTCACCACCTTTTTCCTGAGCAACTGTGCCTGCTTCCCAACAGATCTGCCAACTTCCACACAGGATTCATCCGACCTTTCACACCCAAGTGCAGAGCTAATTATATCCTCATTCTCCTCTGATAATTTGTATTCATAATTCCACTTTTTAAATTTTTTGTATTGAAACATGATTGCACATATCTGTGGGTACAGTGTTGAATATTAATATTTGCGTGCAATATATGATGCTCAAATCAGGATAATTAGTATATTCAACATTAAACAATGTAATAATTTTTGTGGCCCTGTACACATTTTTTACTAGCCCCCACTTCTTGACACCACTGATAACCTCAGCTGTGTTCTTTCCTTCTGAATATTCAGCAAATTATTGGGATTATTATATCTTTCTTTCTTATTTATTTATTTACTATTTTAGCTCCCATTTACAAGTGAGGAGGTGCAGTATTTCTCTTTCCGTGCCTGGCTTATTTCACTTAAAATAATTTTCCCTAAGTATATCCATGTTTCTGTGAATGGCAGGATTTAATTCTTTTTATGGCAGAGCAGTATTCCATTGTGTATATATAACACATTTTTCTTATCCATTTGTCCGCCAATGGGCATTTAGGTTGGTCCAACTCTTGGCAACTGTAACTAGAGAATGTTCCAGGTGCTTCAGAGAAGAATGTATATTCTGTAGTTGTTGGATGAAATGTTCCGTATGTAGATATCTGCCAAGTCCAATTGGTCTAAAGAGTACTTTAAATCCTGTGTTTCTTTTTGTGGACTTTTTGCCTTGACGATCTGTCTAATGCTGAGAGAGGCATGTTCAGGTTCCCAGCTATTATCCTATTCAGGTCTATCTCTTTTTTTAGGTCTAATAGTGCTTTGAGTTCAGAAATCCTTTGAAGATTTCTTGTAGGGCTGGTCATGTATTGGGGACCTCCTTCAGTTTTTGTTTGTCTTGGAAATACATATTTCTCCTTCACTTGAGAAGGACAGCATCATTGGGTATACTATTCTTGGCTGGCAACCATTTATTTATTTATTTTTTCTTTTAATGTTTTGAGAAATGTGCTTTTAGTGTTATGGGGACTCCCTTAAATGTGACTTGATGCTTTTCTCTTGCTCTTTTTAAGACTCTCTTGTAGTCTTTGAGTTTTGTGAGTTTGCGTATAATGTGTCTCAGAAAGGACCTTTTTGTATTGAATCTGTCTGAGAATCTTTAAGCCTCTTGGACATCAAGGTCCATGTCTCTCCCTGTACCTGGTGACTTTTCCACTATTATTTCATTGAATATGTCTTCAATGCCTTTTCCTTTCTCCTCCTCTTCTGGAACACCCATGAATCAGATGTTTGTGCGTTTAATTTTGTCTGCTGTACATGTGTTATATATTGACCATTTATGTTGAATATGGTGTTTTAGCACTGAGTCTGGGAAGATGCAGTAGTATAGTCTCCATGTGGGTATTTCTGCTGTATTCAATGTTGCAGCCGCATGTGAGTGCCTCTGTGGCCTAGGTACTAGACCACTTAGTGATTTCTTGCTGAGGTTAGTGACACTGAGTTGGGTTGTCAAGGATGTAGGCAAGCTGTCCAATCTTAGGAGAAGTGCCTGGGGGCCCTGTCACTTTTTGGCTGGTGTGGGTGACCATGGAAGAACTTGTTGGTACCCCAGCTAGCATCCCATGACCTGATGGGTGTACTGGGGTATACTAGAGCTCTTCCATTTTAATTGGAGACCATGAGTGGGGTTTCTCTCTCCTCTTTCCTACAGGGAGAAGGTCCTCCTGGGTCCCTGCTTTCCCTGGTAGGGGGATAGTTAGGTTGATGGTGGGAATTTTCTTTCTTACTCTATTTGGCTAACCTGGGTTTGTGCATTCTTTAGTTTTTCTGCATGTGTCTCTCCATGTCAGGTCAGTCATGTGAACTGTGCACATACCTCCCACCCCCAGGTGCATGACTGTGGAGAGCAATGTAATTCCCCCTGTGAGTTGAGCCACTGGGTCACTGTGCTTATTCACCTCTTTCCCTGGCTCTGCTGGTGACCTTTCTTATTTTAATTCTGTCAAGCAGTAGGCAGGCCACCTACCTGGCAACAGTGGTTGCTGTAGCAACAGTGGCTGCTGCTCTGGCAGCAGGCTGTTCTTGTAAAGTCTGTGGCAGCAGATCACCTTTGCAACAGTGGTGGCTGTGGTGGTGGTTGTGCCAGACTACCTGCATAGTGGTGGTGTCTGCAGAAGCAGCATACTGCCCACACGATGGCACCCTGCACTGCTGCCGTCTGTTGGAAGGGGCTGCCCTCAGCTCCTGAAGTCCCCACACTCCTGCTGGCTTTTGGCAGGGGCTACTCCCAGGTCAATATTGACAATTCTAATTGATAATTCACAATGATAATTTCTCCTTGCTCTTAGGAAAGCAACTTTAATATTGCATCATTTGGGAAGTCATTTGGGTCTCTATAGAATTATGTAACTAAAGGCCTATCAGGTCCATGTACAGCAGCCGCACTGGAAATTTAAAACTCATAGAAGATGCTGTGTCTTACGTGAACAGATGATTCACATATGCAGTTTCTTCTATTTAATGTATTTGTCCACTTCCTTAGCCTATATTTTCCTCATATTTTTCATGATTCAATTAAATCCTTATGTTTTCAAGTTAGAATTCGTTCATAACCTTCTGTTTCCCCATGACTTGATTTTCACACAAAATGTAGGTCTCTCTAGCAGTGTTTATGACATCTCCTCTTTTGTACATATTTGGCTGGTCATTTAATTTACTACGACTACTGAGATGAAGGTCAAATTCATAGTGGTTTAAATCCTCTGTTGGTCATTGTGTTTTGGATTTAAGTCCAATGCTAGCATATAATACATCATGCATATATTTTGTTCAAATGATCTCGTCTATTATTTTGACACTTGTTCCCAAGACCGGCATGCATTTGATTTGTATTTCTGTTGTTCAGGTCTCTGCCATATCTATTCTTTTGAGTATATCTATATTATCTCCCTCCCCACCACCTAGATGCATATAGCCTCCTATCAATTTCTGCAGAAAATTTCTGGGAAAAGGCTCCCCAGAACCTTCCAGCTGGTCTGGATTTCTCTTATTCCAAACCCCCATTACTCTGGGTATTAATTGGGTCTATCCAATTACCTATGTTAATCTTTGATTAACTCTGTGAGATAGCAGACAGACACTAAAAGAGAACCCTGAATACAGGGTTATTGTAGCTCAAGGTATCCAAAATAAATGATTTTTGTAAGAAACTCACTATATCTATTTACACATTTGTTGAAAGGAAAATAAACAAACATTATTTTGGTTCAATAACAAGAGAAATCATTGTAGATGTACAATGAGTGATGGATTTGGTTACACTGCAGATGAGACATCCAGAGCAGATCTTTATGATAAGATGACATGTAGAAGAGAGTTTATTGAAGTCTAATAACATCAGGAGAGCATTCCATGCTGAGAGAAGAGCAAGTGTAAAAGCTCTGAGGCATAAGAGGTCTGGATCTTTTAACAATGAGGATATATTTTGTGTGGGAAAGAAAAGGCAGGACAGAAGGTGGGTCACACAAAGATCTTGGTAGAAAAGGCCTGAGTCTGTTTTTCTATTCAGTGAAAGTAAAGAAAAAGTAACAACCATGGCAAGGATAAGGATAAAATTGGTCATGTGACATGAACTAAGACTAAAGAGTTTCAAATTATTATGAAAAGCCATTTTGACCAGATCACCAAACTCCTTTGTTTTTCTATCTCTCTTTTCTTTTTGTCTTTCAATATTATGGTCTTGGCTCATGTTTTGTTTCTGCACAAACAGTATTTTTCCTAATCCTATCTTTCTTACTCTGCCTCCTTTTAACTTTCCCAGTAATTCAGGAATCTGTGAACAAGAGGAATCTCAGACAGCAGGACAGGCAGGAGCAGAGGAGCAGTTGCTATGGCTTCGGCATTCCTGGAGAATCTGAAGGAGGAGGTGACCCGCCCCATTTGCCTGGAGCTCCTGACAGAACCTGTGAGCCTTGACTGTGGCCACAGCTTTTGCCAAGCCTGCATCACTACAAACCAGAAGAAGTCCACAGTCGTCCAAGAAGGGGAGGGCAGCTGCCCAGTGTGCAGAATCAGTGACCAGATTGAGAATCTGAGGCCTAGTCGGCATCTGGCCAAGATAGTGGAAAGAGTCAGGGAGGTGAAGTTGAGTCCAGAGGAGGGGCAGAAGGTAGATCACTGTGCACAACATGGAGAGAAACTCGTACTCTTTTGTAAAAAGGAGAGTAAGATAATTTGCTGGCTCTGTGAGCAATGTCAGGAGCATCTTGGTCACAACATGCTTCTTGTGGAGGAGGTTGCCCAGGAGTACCAGGTAAGAAACTAGGATGAAGGGAAGACAGGACAGAAAATGGTACCTGAAGAGCAATCTCCACTTTGCATTCTACTTTAATTAACTTGTCATCATAAACCTCATCCCTTAGATATCTGTCCATCCCATTCTTCCCTTCTGAGGCCTGAAGGACATTTCTGTGCACTCCGCCCACTTACAAGAGAATAAGCCTAGAGTACAAACACTTGGACAGGAGTAAATAATTGTGTTCCTTATGCTATATGTGTAGAGATTTGTTGAACAAGTAAAGTTCCAATTACCCAGATCAACAGGAGAATAACTGGGGAGGGCAGAAATATAAGTTCTTTTCTTGCTTCAAAATCAGGTTATTTTAAGACAAAAAGAATGAGTGTAGAAGGGGATGGTGATTTCTATTACGTTTTACCTAGGACTTAAAGAACACATTCACCACTTGTTTTCTTCCAAGTCTGACCTTCTAATTGCCATTCCACAGTTTCTGTAAACTCTAATCTCTTCTAAGATCAACCTGATATTTTCTATGTTTATCCTCTATCCAGGGGCAGAGAAAGCTCATAGCTTGACCCTGGTGTGATTTCTTTCTCACAGGAAAAGATCCAGGCAGCTCTGGAGAAGCTGAAGAAGCAGCAGCAGGAAGCTGAGCAGTTGCAAACTGATGTTCAAGAAGAGAGAACTTCCTGGAAGGCAGGAGGAGCTACTTCCTGAGGGAGGTAGCCAGAGATCTGGGAAGGAGCCCCCTTCCTTCTGTTATTTGAGAGTTGATAAGTCCATAAGTCATTTGATTAGTGATTAGTCCTCTTCTTCATTCTATCCCTGATGGGGGTGGGGGCTGGAGAGTGAATATGTCACAAATGAACGCAGCTAGTTGGAGGGAGCTATTCACAGGGAGTCACTCTCTGGTCAGGATGGTTGTTGAATCCTGTGTTCCTCTTCTGTGGTCTTTTTTGAGTCTGTGACTCTTTGGGGGAAAGACATTTTGCAGTGACTCACAGTTCTGTCCTGAGTGTCCAACTTGGGCAGGGGTCTCAGGGAGGGAGTGAGCAGTAACTGGGGCAGGCATGGGTGTGCTGGACAGCTGAGTGAAAGCTAAGCCACCCCAGTGATTCTGGTTCGGATCAGTGTGGGCCTCACTAGTGCCAATTCAAGGTCATTGCTTTGGAATGATGAGAAAGGAAAATAACATAAGAGTCTAATTTTATCATTCTACATGTGGATATTCAGTTGTCCCAACATGATTTGTTGAAAAAACCGTCTTTTCCCCACTGTGTGTGTTTTGACACCTTGGTTAAAAGTCAACTGACTGTAAATGTGTGATTTTTTTTTTCCTCTATATACTGTTCCACTGATATATGCCTCTGTTTTTAATGTCAATACCATGCTATTTTGGTACCTATTGCTTTGTAATAGATTTTGATGACAGGTAAGGTAATGCTTCCAGCATTATTTTTTCACTAAAGAGAAATTGGGCAATTTGGGATATTTTGTAGTTCCATACAAATTTTAGATTTGTAGTTTCTATTTTTGTGAAAAAAGTTGTTGGAATTTTGATAAGAATGGTTTGAATGTGTAGATCGTTTTGGGTAATACGGACATTTTTAAAATATTTAACAAAATGTCAAACATATAAACAAAAGATATCTTTCCATATTTATGTGTTTTCTTCAGTTTCTTTCATCAATAATTTATAATTTTCCGGACATTTTTAAAATATTTAACAAAATGTCAAACATATAAACACAAGATATCTTTCCATATTTATGTGTTTTCTTCAGTTTCTTTCATCAATAATTTATAATTTT